AGTAACAGATTCACTTGTTGATGTTGATCTAATTGAAGCACCGAATCGAAGCCATCTTTCGTTCGTTAATGTGACGAAAGTGGCATCACCAACATTCCAAAATTGTTTACAGATATCAGGACTAGACTATGATGAAGCTAGTCCATCAACTATGCGCTAAAAGTGTTTTTAAACTTATTATTTTTTTTTGTCATATATATAATTACGAAACTTTACATGAAACTTTTGACTCTAATTTTATTAAATTAATATTTAATCTTTTATCTATAAGGTTTTTGTATGAAAATTGTATTTAACTTAATCTGTAAACTATATTGATATTCTATACCACTGATGAAGACAAACAAGTACTGTTAATTTTCTACTAAAATGTAAATCAATCAACTAATGAAAGTATTTTACTTTGAATACTGTGTTCATGCAATATTAGTTTGACCTAGAATTTATATTTGACTTTAAATTATGAACAAGAATAAGATCATCATTAAAGAAGTTAAAGAGGAACAGCATATGAATACTTATTTGCATCAAAAATAAGATATCTAAAAGAAAAGATTTGGTCTTATATTGCTTATTTGGGATGTTTAAAGTAGTGGCGTATCCAGATAGAGGCTAGAGGAGATGCAACTCTCTCCTCCTTCCCCCTACGAAAATTTCTCTTTTGAAGTTTAATAATCAACATGCTAATCACCTGACCAATGAAGTATTGTATACTATATTTTCATCTAAGGGAATGAAAGTAGATAGCTAATCATTACTTTTTCTTTAAACTTTTTTAACATCTATGACATAAACACTTAGAAGGAACACATTGTAAGACGCGTCGCTGTGTGAATAAAACGAGTTTCACAGGTTCAGATTTTGAAAACGGTGTAAAACCCGTTTATTTTTTAAACGGTTTTCACTACGTTCCCTTGAGAAAATGTTCAATCAGATGTTTCGCTGCTCGCTTATTCGAAAGAAACGCGTTTCATAGGTTCCCTTTTTCAGAAAACATGCAAAACAAATTTAGTTTTACGAACAAGTTTTATTTCAGCACTTCTCTTGGTGTTTTTTTGGGTTAATTTTGAACATGGCACTTTGAGAACATAATTGTTTTCCTAAGACAATAGAAAGTACATCAGTCCTATAGTATATTTTATGCTCAAAATTTATCTTCTTTTCTTTTACTGCTGAAAACTATTTTATGACATTGGTCGGTGGGTGGCGGCAAAGATGAGTTCGATCAATCGTTCTCGAATAAAGAAATGGAATGATCAGTGGGAAAACACCAATTTCGTAGAAAATTTCAATATTGATAATAGGAATTTTATATTGATTATTTCGTAGCGAATCGATTTCCATTAGGTCTGACTGCATAAATATTGATGAATGATTGATCAGGCGAATAAATTGCTTATTTCGTTATTACGATAGATAAGTATTCTATGAAAAGTCTGTTTTTCGTCAATAGAAAAACTTTATCATGTAAAATGATTGATTAAGTAATAGAGAAGCCTGTTGTCTTTTTCTTCTTATATAAACCATAGTGTCATATCTTTGAAAAGGTTCTTAATCATATGAGTAACCAAGTGTTTCATGAAAAAGACAAGAAATAAGTACGTGTTTTCTTTTAATTAATTTAAGTGGGTACCAATGAATTAAAGATATTTTTTTGTTTAATTTTCTTTGTGATGAAGCAGTCATGAATGATAAAATGAATTTGACACAGATTTGTCTGTTTTTAATTATATATAAGTAAAAGTTTCATTAGTGAAAAATGATATTGAGTCTTCTAACTTTTCTTTATTTTTAGAACAAGAAAATAGTTGAATTAAAATAATGTATTATAAAATAGGATGGTAAAAATGAATATTGTAGAATTGCTATACTGATTTGAATAATTTCCGTATATATTCTATCAATATGATGTGAATAATTTTCATAATTCATTATATCTCTAAACAATAGAATTCATCTAGTTTTTCAATATGAAGATAAAAGAAAAGAATTTTGTTTGAAATATAATTCTAATCAAATAATGTAAAAATAATATTCGTAATATTATATTGACAAGAACATCTTATAGAATAAATGAAGCTGCACGTTATCAAGCATCTATCTTGTCAACAACTTCTTCGATTTTTTGCTAAATTAATAAAAAGAGATATTGCTTCAATGAGATTGTTTCTAACAAAACATATATCGCCATTCTTGGTGATGTTTTGTTTGATTTTGTTTGTTTATTATTAATTAAAATAATAAAATAAGTTATAATTATTCACCAATAATTGGTATTCATTAAAAATGTCTTGAATGTTTTCATGATGATTTATGTACATGATGTGTTTATTGACAATTAATTCATGCTGATCATGTTGTGGCCAAAATTCGAGCGTCTCATCAAATACATTCCGTTTTTTTTTCTATATTTAATTAAAGTATTTCTGGAAAAATAAAATAGATCGATGTTGTTTGAAAACTTTGTTTATCGATTCGATTAAATTTAAATAATAAACAATGAATATTGAAAAACAAATATATATTAGAATTCAAATGGAACATAAACAACAATTTTTCAAGAAAAAGAAAAAGAAAAAAATGAAACTATTAGTTGATCTTCTAATTCATCTTACACAGTGATTGCTTTATTTTTCATGTTTCTTAATCAAGAGGTTATCTTTGAACTTTTTTGTTTATTTTGTCAATTGTATGTATATAGCGTCTTTTTTTCTATTCACCAAAATGCAAGTAGATTGTGCATATATTTTTTATATTAGATTGGACTGTTTGTTTTTTTTTAACTTTCGATCGGGAAAATTAATTAGAGAAATGAAAATGAAAGAAATATAATATCATACCATCTTAATAAAAAAACAGGTTGAAGTTTATTTTGCAAGAAATATTTCTTAAAGTATTTGTTTGTCTCTGTAGTCTAGAAAGCTATTCATTTGAAAGAATGATGCACAAATCATTAATTGAAATATAGTTTAAGAGCTTTTGCCATTATAGAATAGAAGATATTTGACTTGTTTTGGACAATGTTGCGAAATTTTATTGTTACAAGACGATAGTTCCATGCTTTCGGTGATAAATTAATCACATCTTAAGTACAAATCTTTACGAGGAATATGATAGAAAACAGCGTTAGAATCTCAAAAAGAGAAAAAACTAATTAGTCAGGTGAAGTTTGTATATTACTTATTTGAAGTAACCAATCATTTTCGAGCCGAGAAGATATTCATTATCATTATAAGTCTTCATCCCTGGTGTATCTAAGTTGTATTGAAGTCTCATCAATAGTAATCGTCCGATAAACTTTGAATAAAACTAGTCCATTTACAAATTTCAGATTGCGTGAATACTGATGATCTTGTAGATAACTAATCGAGAATCTGTGGATAAGAAATAACAGTTGTTTTCTTTGGCTATATAATGCAGTTTGTTGGGTGTGGGTATGGTTGATATAGATGCGGATTATCGAGTCTAGAGTTATGCGTTCAGGCTTTAGAATGTGGATGTTGATTTCCGTTAAAGTTTAAGCGTAGATATTCTCTTCATTTACACACAAACGCACAGTCGACATAAACAACTTGACATCGAAATCTCACACCGATATCTCATAACTGCGAACAAATGTTCTAAATCCATCAAAACAAATCATAATCAGCATCGTTTTTGCTAGAGTTTTCCAACAAATTTGTTTCATAAATGACTGTTTATATTGATAATCTGTTGAAAATGAGACGCAATCGTGTAATTGTTCCGTTTATATTATATTTTGATTGAATGCTTTATTAGAATAGGTAACATAATCAAATATATAAGCATCATTTAATAGAAAAAATTTCTTTTTGTTTCCATTTTAATGAAGAGGATCATATAAAAATTGAATAATTTCTTTATTGAATATTTCAAAATAAAAATGCTTGATGAAATATAGTATAAACAATATTAGAGAATAGAAAAGTGTCAGTAAGTAGAAGATATTTATTTTCTCGACGATATTGTCAAATAATAATATCGATATAATAGAGATGAAAAAAATAAAAAAAATGGATACTAAAATAAACTTAATTAGCATTCTAAACAGTATGGAAGTTCTCTTCGAAATGAATACAAAACGTCTATATATCTAACATAGAGAATTTTTAATGTAATGATTATTGAAACTTGATACTAATATGAATTAATTGAGAAACTTTGATTCTCTTGGAAAATTTTTAGTAGATGATCTATATTAGTTGAAATTAATTTCAATTGTCAAATATCAAATTGTGTTATCTGTTAGATTTATTTATTTACCGCTTGTTTTATTCAACAGATTTTCATTTTCATTTAACGTCTTGGAAAAAATTAAAAGAAATTATTATGAAGTATATAAAAAACAATTCTTTTTTGATTGTTTCTCGACTATTTGTTCAATGATTTTGTCTTTGATCGTTTGTATAAATTAAAAATTCAGTTTTTTTATAATATTGTTAATCGAATAGATTAATTAAAATAGGATTTATCTAATTGATAATAATAATAAAATGAATTTTTTTTTTGAAAAAGAATTCTATTATTCAAATAAAAATAATTTCAAAGTCAATCATATTAAATAAAATAAATTGTCAAACAAATATCTTAAATTAGTTTGAGAAAGTTTTCAAAATAGATAATAAATAATGTATAGAGTTAAATAAATAATCATTTTTCTATTTATTCAGGTGAAAAGAAAATAAAAGATGATAAATAAATAGAAAATGGGATTAACTATTGAGACAAAAATCATCTGGTTTTCTTTTACTATTTTTTCATTTATATATGCGAAAAAATTCTTCTAAAATTAATTCAAATTTTATATTAAGAAATTTTTTTTTTTCTTCAAAACGATTCAATTTTATAATTATATTAAGTAATATATTTATTGAAGAATTTACTCATATTATTCGTATTTAAAAAGAGAAAAAAAAAAAAGAGAAAAGATATAATTTATATCAAAAAAGAAAAAGTGAATAAAATGGTCTAATAAGATATTATGAGATAACACAACATGTTAATTTTGTTTTAGCAAATTTTCTTCGATGATGATAATGATGATGATGTTTAGGGACTGACGAAGATTTTGAAGGAATTTTATTTGAATTTAATTTATAAAGATCAGATCTTTGAGGTAGAATTAATATTGGTTCATCATATCGTTTTGGTATTGTTGGTGGAGGTAAAAGAGATGGAGGAGCATCATATCCTTCGAAACGTGACATTTCTATTATTTTATCATTAAATTTATAATTGTCTTTATCATATGTACGAATTGGTTGATGTTCTTCAGGAGGAGCTGAAGCAATTGGAATTTCAATGAAACGAAATGGTAAATCTTCACATTCAACAAAACATTTATCGTTTCCCATTATTTCAATTCGAAAATAATAATTTATTTCGTTTTGTTTTTTTTTTCAATAAGAAATCAAATAGTAACACGTATTCATAGATAACAATCCATCACGTTTCTTTTTTATCGATTCTTTCACTACCGACGAGCACTTTCTTCTCATCATATTTCTACGCATACTTACTCATCAAATTTAGTTTTTTCTTTTCTTTTTTCTCTGTATTCATTAGATCATTTTGTTTTTTGTTCACACTATATTTTATTATTTACATTACTACACTCACATATCTGTCTAGAACATTTTTTTATTTATCAAAAGAAAAACAAACTAAAACTGAATAAAAAAACGATCTTAAGTTTGTCTTATATAGAAATATTCTTGTTTTTGTCTTAATCAATGTTGAAACAGAATTATATAAATAATAAATATATCGATTGTTCTATATCATCAAACTTCAATTGAAAAAAGATAATTATTTATTAATTGTTTAAGACAACTAATCATATAGAAATTTATTTATTCAACTAGAGTTAACTAAAATTTTTCTATTATTGTTTTTAAAAGTTTATTTAGAGATTCGATTATACATTTAAATAAATATTCGTGTAAATATTTAACAATATAAACTATCTATCTATTTAATTATTTGAGAATCGATTTTTTTTTCTACAGAAAAATATTTCACTTTAACTTAGGAAAGGAATTCTAGTTGAAAATTACTATTGATTAGTGTTTCATTCAGTCTTTATGTGAAAACGGTACATAATCTGTATTTAGAAACGACGTAAACAAGAGATACGCTCAAGAAGTTTAACAAAGCACAATTGCATAACATATGAAAAGATAATTTAATAGAAATAAAACTAAAAATAAAATAAAATATGAAACACCTACATTAGAATTTTGACATAATTTCATACCATCAATCAATCATTTTTTGTTCAACTAATGTATATACATAGAAGACAAATTTTCAGAAGACTTTATATATTTTATTTAAGGTATAAAAAGAAAGGAAAGTGTCTATCGGTAACTCTAATTAATTAATAAGTCAATGGACAATCAACTATTTAAAATATTCAAGCAGCAGAAGCTTCGAATACTTAACGAACAAGTGATAAATAATCATCGAATAAATTAACTTTTTCTTATATTGACGTTAGAAAGAATATATTCTATGAACGATGACGAACTACAATAAACTAAATATATCTATACTCCATCTAGACTATATCATTATGTCAATATACAGAGTGTCTTATTAGTTGCACTACGATAAGAATTTAAAAATTTTCCCATAATTGTTTAACCAAATGAGTTGAAATTTTTTTGGGTGATAGAGTCTGACATAGAATTTTTTTCATAAGAATAATAGGACTACTTGAGACTCTTATGATTAATTATAATAAAAAATTTAGCCTTGGTAGAGGTTCCAAAAAAGTCATACACATTTTTTCGAAGATGTCTTTCGCTTCTAACATCAAAGGATAGGAAAAAAGCCAAACAAACTTTATTAAGGATACTAAAACAATCCACATAAGTCAAAGTTTTACAAGAAATTAATTAAAATATTCCAACTGATGTCCATCAGCATCAATACAACTTTGAAGCCTTTCAGGCACTGATTCACAAACTTTCTCGCAAAGGCCAGTTTCAAGTGTATGAATCGCTGTAATAATTGACTCCTTAAAATGAGCTAAAATTCGAGGCTTATTTTTGTACACAATGTCTTTTATATGTCCTCACATGAAGTAGTCTGTTGGTGTTAGATCAGGTGATCTCGCAGGCTACTCGATTGAGTCTAGAGGTGTAAACCGAAGGGTCAAACAGAAGTTATATATATAGTCCGAACATTTTGTGCATTGACTAAGAGAACAATAAGATAATAAAACGTTTTATTATCTTATTGTTCTCCTAGGGCCAATGCACAAAATGTTCGGACTATAGATATAAATGTTTTTTTTTCATGTAAGTTCATTTTATTTTGACTGACGAAGTCAACAGTAGTTGACGAAACGTTTCACAAATAAAATATGTTTTATTCGGTAGTTTTTTCTTTATTATTTATTATTAAATGTATTTACCGAAAAATAAATAACAAATACTCATTAATTATTTATTGTTGATTGAGGAAAATATTTGTTCTCCAGTTCATGGCGTCATAACCATTTGAACTAGGATTGAATATTCAGGTTTATACATTTGTTCCACGATTTACACTCTTTCATTCAAACTCAGTTGATGTCTGGCCACATCTTAGACTCAGTTTAAAAATGAATTTATGCGATTTCAAGCTGCGTAATAAAGACTGTCAGTGAGAGAAAAAACGAACGCATTTATAAACATGGACAAAAAGAATAGAGAAGTGGATGTGTATGGGTTAGGTGTGAGTCAATGTCGTTGTGGTGTGCTTGGATGTGAGTGCTTTTTGGTACTTCACCCACACTCACACTATCTACTCTTTTATTTGATAATGTTATTGAAGCATCATGAATCTTTAAATCTGATTTAACGGTGTGAGTGGGTGTGGGTCTGAAAATGAGTGGCTAGACTAACCACACCTACACAGCCACATCCTTCCTAAAGTACAAAATATTATCATTTAATCTATAGAAGCAACACTTGATTTGTATCGTTATAAAACAAGATTATTTTGTATATATTCATCGTGCGAAAATGATGGGTTTAGCAGAGAATTGAGAGAAGATATATATAATACATAATCTAACAAGAAAGATTGAAAATGAAGACAAATATGAAATATTCATTCGCTCAATTGATGAAATTACCTGATGAGATATTGATGATCATTTTAAACAAATTGAACAATGTCGAAGTACTTTACTCTCTAATAGGTGTTAATACACGATTCAATCCATTTGTACGTGATCCTGTTTTTACTAGTCAACTTGCATCAATGAAACATAATCCATCGACTCATCTTACATCTCCATTAACTGATATAGTTCTTGATCGATTCTGTTTAGAAATATTACCTCAAATTTGTAATAGAATCAAATGATTCAATCTCGAAACATTGTCTATGGAACGTATACTTCTTGTTGCTAACTATACAAATTTAAGTCAACTTGAGATTTTTATTATGAACGAGAAAATTGACATAGATATCTTCACTAGTAAGATTATTCAATTTGACTATTTTTAGTATTATATCTAAAGAAGTTATCAAAAAACTAACATTAATCAATTGAATTTCTAGATATTTTCTTCTTCTACTTTGTAACAAATCATATGAAATTATTAATATCAATTAGATATTAAACATCTTGAAAACACAATGATTGATTATGAGAAAGAGAACAGAAATGTTAAAATGAAAATAAATTTATTTTGTAAACAAGGATATTAGAAAACATCGAGAATGAATTTCTATATATATATATATGTATGTATGTTTTCTTCTAATAATCTTATATTTATATTTAGATAAGTTGGCTTTAGTTCAAATCTTTAAAAAACAGATTACGAAATTATCTGTCAGCGGTAGGCATTATATACATGATGAATTTCAAAAGACTACACGAGAAAACGTGTTTTCAACCATGTTGCTTGTGTTCAACAATGTTCATCATTTGAAATTCTACGAATCATCAAATATTGGAATTTTTTATCTATTATTTAATCATCAATTTTCAAAGTTATTTTTCTTCCATTCTGATAGAATTCCATGTTAATGTGTATGAATTCTATGATTGTCTTTATCTCTTCGATGGTCGTTTCAATCGTTTTATATATTTACCTCTTCGATCATCTATTAATAACAAGGTTAACTATTTCATAAAAACAATAAGTCAATTATTCTTATAAATGAGAATTTATTTGTTCTTAAATTAATATTATTCTATCTGTTAATTGCTTATATTTTGTTTTAGGAAAAACTTCCTAATTTAAAGCATTTTTCATTATTTTGTATTAATGAAACATTTATTTATGATGAATTAATTAAGTCAAGTCACTTATTCATTGAATATCGAATCTAGAAAACTTGGCTTTATATCTTGCAATTGATTACAATGAAACATTTATTGATAGTAATAATTTGAAGGAGAACATTATCAATTATTTGCTACGATTAAAATAATTTATATTTAATATCCGTTGATAGATCTCAATTTCGAGTTTAATAGATTTACCATCAAAAGAAGACATTCAACATACATTCTTAAGTTTTGAAAATTACAAAATTATTTCTTCTGTTGACTATTTTCCAAATGATCGAAAAGGTCAATGTCATATTTATTCACATCCCTATACATTAACATATTATTATACTATTACTCGGGTGAATTAATTATACAATTCCGTTCAAGAAGTAACGTCATTTTGAACATGAATTTTTCATTCGAATGTCTCAAGCATTTCCATTTCTGAAAGACTTAACTATACATTATTTGGAAGCACAACGTCACAAGTCAAATAACAAAAATAAAAAGTTGTCAATCATTGAATATTCACATCTTAATCAATTACATTTCCTTCACGTCTATGATGATTATGCTAAACAATTTTTATTCAATTCGAAAACGTATTTACCAAGTGATATTCATCGGATAATCGATTACGACCAATTACAATGTGTCACACACTATTTTACAAGAGATGCCACACAAATCAATTATTCAAGAGTCAAAAAACTTTTCGTTCATGATAAATTAGATTTATCAAGATATGTGTAATGTTTGTGTTCTTTAAATAAAATGATAGGAATTATTTTCTGGAAAATTCAATAAATTAAATTAAAATCTTTGAAAAGACTACATTGAAATACAAACAGAAAGAAAGGCAGTCTAATTTATTGATTATTTTTAGAGATTTGCAAAGGACAATAGTAGGTACTCTTGTGTACTTTTTATCATAAGATAATGTCGTCAATAAACACAGTGCTAATCAATAGAAAACAAAAAATAAACAGGCTTGTTAGCGCAGCCTCTTTTGGGCTAAAATATTGAACTCATATATCACATTTACAGTAACAGATATTACTACTTTCGTATCAACAAAAAGAAATATATTTAAAAGAAAATCTAACGTTAATTGATAATTATATTACGTTTTGCACATAATCTATTCACTTAATAGAAGACATCTAACCACAGATACCTATTCTATTCTTATTTATACAGATTCATATACTAATTAAACTAGAATTATATTGTTCATCTAATAGATAGCAACTTTCGAACCATTCATTATTAATTGCGTATTATAAACATACTAATCTATTAAAATAATTACACTTTTATTATTGAGAAAATGAAACAAACATAGAGAAGAGGAGAGCCGAAAAAATCTCGACATAATATTACATTCACTTTTTGATATGTGAGTTACACAATAACAAAAACGAACGTCTTCTTGAATAAGTTAAAACAAAAACGAAAATCGAACATTAGAACTAGACTATCACTCGAACAAAGCTTGAGTAGAAAAGGCGGTTGACTGCAGAAAAGTTTCGCACCAATAGTGCTCTTCTTTGGGTTTGATTCATTTATATAAATAAATGCAGCTGGAGTTTAATCATTTGTCTAGATACATACATATATGATCTATCATTTTCTGAAATAGCACTTCTCAACGTTTCAAAGAAGCCATTAGTCAATATCACAAATAACTTGCTCATCTGTAGACTTTATACGACAAAAAATGTTCGTAATTCAATATAAAATAGAGTAGAAAGCAAAGAATCTCTATGCAGAAAATCTATGTGAAAACGTACCATTCCATATCCTACAAATAGATAACCTATGATTGAGCGCGCATTTGTCCCCATATATACTTACATATCTATCTTAATTATGGTAGCAGTGACAAATTATGAAATCTCTCCTAGGCTATTCCAGAGGGTGACCAAAAAATCGAGATCTCGGGAAGAAAATTCGGTTTTAGGTACCTATCTTATTTTTTGAAGGAGAAACTATGGTTATATTCCGAATCAGCTTGTCGAATTATATCGAACCA